GACATCCGGCTCTGGAAGATGCGTACTGAACTTGAGCAGATCCTGCAGCACATGGAGCGACGGCACACTCACTCACATCACGACAGATGTCGGCCGAAGCCACTTGGCAGCGTCTGATTGGCTGCGTCCACGTCATCCTCGAGCGAGCAGGACCCCCAGGCAACGAGCTGGACAGTGGAGGCGGCGCCGACGACGGAGAGGCGCTGTGTGCCGGGAGGGGGCGCGTGCACGGTGCCGCGGATGCCCCCCGCGGGCGCGTTGAGCACCACCACCCAGTCGCCGTCCGGAATGTCCAGTGCGACTGATGCCTCTGTCTCGCCGCGCGGAAATGGCTGGAATGACTCGTACCTGCACCCCACGCATGCGGTGGGTGTGAGGGGTGGGATGGGATGGGATGGCATGGCATGAGATGGGATGCAAAGAGTACACAGGACAGGATGGCAAGAAGAGCAGAGACGCAAGAGGAGGCAGTGCATGCAGTCCAGGGTTGGTGTGTGAGGAAGGGCGAGCATACCAGCAGAGGGAGATGGGGTCAACCATGCAGAGGTTCCAGGAAGATTCGTCTGCTGCCTGCTGCGTGTCGAGGTGGGAGGAGAATCTGATGACCACGGAGGTGAGGTTGGGGAATGTGCCGCAGTCTGCTTCACAGCCAAAGCGGCCAAACGCGGGGAACTGGAAGGGACGATCGCATGAGCCGTCTCCACACGTGGGGTCCGCCCACAGGCTCTACAGGGGCGGAGAGGGGGGGGAGGGGCAGTGAGGAAAGGAGAGGAGGGATGAGCGGATGATAGTATGTGCTTTGATGCATGCAAGGGAGAGCTGTGGTGCCGCGTGAGTGGGTGGAGAGCAGGCTTGGGGAGCAGGAGGCAACACGCAGCAGATGTGGGAGGAAGGAAGCTGCGAGATGGAGGGGAGAGGGAGATGGAGGGGGGCATACCTGCACGATGCTGGTGTTGAGCCAATTGTAGAAGTCATCCGGACCAGCAAAGGTGTTGGCGGAGTCCTGACTCATGCCCTGCTCTTGGGGCGGGGTGAGACGCACACAGGGCGGAGGGTGAGGCGAGGTGAGGAGTAAAGTGGAGATGCAACGAAGGTGCGGGGAGCTAGGCACGGGCACAGCTGAAGTGATCGCACAAGAACGCATGCATGCTAGAAGGAATGCGACTTAGAAAAACCGTGGGGAAGAGCACGGCGGGGGGTGCAAGGGGAAACCGTACGGGGGGGAAGAGCACGGCATGCACGGCGGTGATCTCGTAGCTTCGAGAAGAATCAGCTTGCATGTAGAGGATGGTGATGAAGAGCGCCATGAGCACCACGAACCCGCCCAGGTCGCGGTAGTGCTGCACGCGCTGCTGCAGCGCCACCACGCGCCCGAACGCCTCTGCCACCAGCCGAGCAAAGGGGGGACGGAGAATGGGAGGGCGTAGAAAGGTGAGGGGGAAACACATAGGGAAAGGCGCGTTGCAGCGCCACCACGCGCCCAAACGCCTCTGCCAGCCACGCGCGCGAGGGGGGGAGGGGAAATGAAAAGAGGGAAATTGGAGAGGAGGCGGAGAAATAGGGAAGGGGAAGGATATTCTGGGAAAGAGCGCCCAACGGTACGAAGCGAGGGGGTTGAAGCGAGAACGGTACGGGTGCCGCCCAACGCCAGGCAGTGCGTTCCCGCATCCCAGCAGCGAGAATGGTACAAGCGCATCCCTCTGAACCTGCACGCACCTTGCAGCACCTCTCGGTCCATCTCGTCCATCTCCGCTTCCTGAAGAGTGGCCTCGCTCGCCGACCGCGGCAAGCTCTCCGCCAAACCGCTGAGAGCGCCCCGCTCCATGGTCTTCCCCGTCTCATCCTCCGTCATGCTGCGCTTCAAAAAAGCCCCCGCCGCGCTCGCCTTCCCCTCCCCGCCCTCCGCGTCATCCGCGCAGCTCTCGTCGGAGCGCGTGCTGCTTGCGCGCCAGATCCGCGGGCGGCAATGCCGCAGGAAGGCGCGCAGCCCCCTCTCATCGTCCGCCGCGCTCTCGTGACTGCTCGCGCTGCTGTTACTGCTGTTGTTGCTGCTGCTGTCCCGCGCTCCCTCACTCCCCGAACCCTCTCCGCCAGCCCGCCCTTCCTCCGCCAACCTCTCCGCTCCGCTCTCCGCGCAATCCCCCCCGCCGAATCGCCCGTCATCCTGCTCCTCCTCGTCTTCGTCTCCTTCGGCGACGACGGACGGATTGAACGACGAGCTTGCTTCGACACGTGTCATGAGCTCCGCATTCTGCGGCGCGAATCCGTAGCCATCGAGGAAATCCAAGTTGTGCTTCTTGCGGCTGCGAGACCCCGATGGCTTGCGCCTTTGAAGCGCCGCGAGTTGGAAATGGGGGAGCGGAAAGGGAAATACAATTTGACAGTGCGGAACTCAATTACGCGCCTTGGAAACTGGAAAATGTGGCACTGAAAAAGACAAAATAAAACAAAAACAACTCGGAAAGCTGCATAAGGTCAGTAGCCTTTACAAGCAACGTAATTTCAAGCTCACGGCCAATTCTGCAGTCGTAGTAACGAGCCTTTTCACGCAAACGCGATGCTCGGCTCACCTGGAAAAGGCGTCGGATTTGGAGCGAACCCACATGCGGTAATTGGCCGCCTGATACGCGTCGAACTTGTCGTCTAGCAAACTCTCCGACCGCGTTAGAACCGCTTCTCTGTCGCCATTCGCCTCCGCCCTCTTCTTCGCGCGCACCACTGCCACCGCCTCCGCCATTATCGCTACTACTACGGCGAGAGGCAAGAAGCAGGGCTGTAAAAATTAACTTCGCTGGGGTCGCAACTGCCTAGGGTTATGACAAGGCGCTTTTCAGAGTGTGTCTGGCGGTTGGTAGAAAATGGATACGCACGTTGTTGAGAAAAAACGTCATCTTGAAAGAGAGTATGGCATAGCTTGGTGCTCGGTCATCAGGAGGGTGCGGTGGAGCATAACAACTGAAGTACTTAGGGTCAATCAAGTGGGAAAGTCGACAAGCATTGGGAAATGTCGCGAGAGGTAAACCGTCGGATACTTTACGGTCCCAAATCTGACAGATCAGCTCTCTCGACATGTTTCGACTTCTATCGACGTCCCTGATTCGGACACCCGCAGCCGAGACTTGGAAAGGGAAGTGTGAAGGGTAGCACGAGACGCGACGGGACGATAAATAAATTCCTGAACTTTCTGCTGCATAGCAACTAGCTTGCCGTTCTGGCGAGCGATTACTGTACACTCAAGTGCTTGCCCTCACTGTTCTCTCCGTCGCACGCTTCGGCAGAAGGGCGGTCCTTGTCTCTTACCCTATTGTACAGCCTCCACAGTTGTCTGATTAGTTGCTGCTGATGTGTGCTTTCTGTTCTTTTGGGTAAGCTGAATCGGTGAAGGTACGAAACTAATCTATAAGAAGTTTCAGCACTACTTATTACTTGCAGTACAAAGTTCCACCGTACAAGGAAAAGGCCTTATAACTTTCCATCATCTTCATTTTCAAATGCACGACTTTTGCAATGCTCACACAAGAAACATCTTTGTCGCTGCATTACATTGGGGCATAAGTGATTTGCCAATGATGAACACACATACCACGCACACATGTACCATATTCTGATTCTTGGAGCCGTAGAACAAATTTGGCAAGTGACCCACCCGCTCGCCCGTGCAAGCTGGTGGTCCAAAAGCGCAGCGCCAGCCATTCAGAATTGCCAATACAGCACGGATTGTTAGTATACTGCACAACCACAATGCAAGACTGCTACGGTAGTATTGGTTACTGGCAGGACCAAAACCAAACACACAAATTTCACACCGGGGGCTGGTGCTGCCACCCCTCCCCTGTCCTCCAAGGGCTCGTTCTACTCGCCCCTGTGCCTTCCCTGAAAGACACTCATCTCTCAGACCCTCGCTTCGATGCCAACAAGCTTCTACTCGCACTCCCTCCTGCAATGGTCGAACCATCTTGTGCGTCCCCCCGTCTCTCCTCTCCCTCCACTACCCCTCCACCTGCCCCGCTATCGCTAAACCTCCGTGGCACCTCCCTCCTGCTTCCCGCTTGCTTCAGTGGCTGAGGGGAGTCTGAGAGGAGGGAAAAGAGAGGCGCGGGCTCTGTATAGGATCGGCGCATGCCTGAAGCGGCTGACGGCCCCGCGGGAGCATTCATTTTGTGGTCAGTGTTTTCCAGGGGATGCGTGCGCGCGAGGTGGTCAAGCACGAGTGCCAGCATGCCCCTCAGATCCTTCACTGCCGCCTCGCTGCGCGCCAAGTCCTCCTGCTCACATGCACACACACACACACACACACACGCACACACACACACACACGCACACACGCACACACACACACACACACACACACACACACACACACAAGCACACACACGAACACACACACACACAAAGCGGAGGGGAGGAGGTGTGTTGACATGGGATTCTCAGCCATTGGGATACGATCACTGCAACCCCTGCTGTATCAGCACACATCCCCTGTCACACTCGTTCACAGCACACCGCACACACACCGCCTTCTTTCCCACCTTGATGTGCGCGAGGCTGATTTTCTGCGCGGGCTTCTTGACGGGCAGGGCGGCCTGCTTCACCACCTCGCCGCACTGCAGCACCACCGCCTGCGACAGCTGCTCCAGCTGCTCCTCGTCCACAAACTCACTCGAGGCTGCCTTTGGCCAACACTTGTGCCGCGGCTCAGCCTCGTGGGGCTCTACTAGCTGAAAAAATATTGCAAAACATGTGAGGAAAACAGTAGCGAGGAGAGAGGGAGTTGCAGGGCAGAACTGATGTGCAAAGTCATGCAAAGAGTCGGCACATTGCATGCTCTAAACACAAAGCCACAATACATGGCTTGCCACAGCGCATAGCACAAGATACCCTGGCACAACCACATAGAATGGCACAACATATAAGCCACAGCACAACCACATGGCATGCCACAACACATGGCATGCCCAAGCCAAGTACTCAGTCAGACAATCACAGCAGCAAGGGCGCACCTCCCTGTCCTGCCGTCGCTGCAGGATCATGGCGAGCGAGATGGCGTCAATGCGCTTCTCCCTCACTGTCAGCACGTGCTGCCGCCGCACCCAAGACTCGCTGTCAGGCGGGAAGGCGGACTGGTTCTTCTCGCAGCTGCCCGAGAAGATGGCTCGCGTGCGCCGCTTCATCGACTGCATGCGGCGCATCCGACGGTCCGCCTGCACCGCACACCAAGGGGAGGTTCGCGGTGAAAAGTACTAGTTCTGAAAGAGGCCAGCAGCATTGGGTTTCCAGCAACAACTGCACGCACGCAGACCCCCTACAAAACAAGACGTTGATGACTAAATTGACCATGAACAGTATAGAAATATCAACTGCGACCATGAACAGCACGCGGGGCCACGAAGAGCAAATTACAATCAATCAACATGTTGTTTGACCCCTAACCTTGTCAACGGGGGTGACCTTCATGCCCAGCTCTCACCTCCTCCACGCGGGTGTCCTTTGCGCCCAGCTGCACGAGGCGATCAAGAATGAAGGAGTAATGCAGGTAGCGGCCGCGCCAGCAGTTCCACTTGTACTTGAAGAGGTGTGCAAGGTCAGCGACTATGGAAGTCGCAACGATGTTGCTGTCCTTGACGCTCATGAAGGCATCGACGATGATGGCGATGAGGAAGTTGAGGAGGATGAAGACCATGAAGACAATGAACATGAAGAAGAATAGCATCGCCGCTATCAGGTCCCACGACTCCAGGCGCTGAAAGAAGTAGGCTGAGCCGTTGTCGTTGAGCAGTAGCAGGAAGCACGAGAACATTGACTCTAGGACTGTGGAGAACTGCAAAGGTGGACGTAGTAGGCGGGAGAGGGAAATTGTTCAGGGAAAGGATGGGAAATAAGAAAGAAAGAAACAAAAATAAATCAATACTTAACAAACAGGGTACACAACCAAGAGAGTCATGTTAGTCTTGAACATAAAGTTTTTTCAAGCAAATGTGACACATCTGTAAAAGGACCTGCACTGGGAATGCCCGATTGATCATAGGGAAAATGCCCGAGTTCAAATTCCCATGTGCGCACATGCTGGCGCTGCTGCTGTATCGTGTCCTAAGGCATCCCTATGAAGGACGGTGTCAGAAGATCTGCATTGAGGATCCCCGATTGATCCTAGAGAAGGGTCACAGACCCGCAAGCCTGGGGGGGTTATGGGCACAGTGACCTGCTACTTAACAAGTCATTCTATCCCAGTGGTTTTTTAAGGTTGAGATTCTGTCAACGTTTATTCTACACAGAAAGGTAGTAACTGAGCCAGACACGTACCATCTCAAGTGCGCCTCCAAAGACGAGGTAGCCATACATGCTGAAGCAAAAGAAGACAGCAAAGGAGAGCAGGAAGAAGTGCAGCAGAGAGGGCGTGGCGACGCTGAGGGAACGTGTGATGACTCCAAGGTACGGCTGGAAGTCCATCACCTTGAGCAGGCGCGTCATCATAAAGAAGAGACTGGGTTTCAGGGAATGGGAAGAGGAATAAAGAAGAAGGGGAAGAGAGGAGGCAGGAAGGGCAGCATAAGCTAGGAAGTTATAGTGTGGTAAACTGGAAGTGGATGATCAGCCTGTCTGTGACAACAGGTAGACATGATGAGGTAGGAAAAAAGTCAAGTGAAAGGTTTATTTTTCTTTTTACTCATCAAACAGAATTGACACACATGAGCACGCACACACAACACACGCTGAGGGCGAGGCGGCTCATTCAATGCCTTGAGGGGCAAGGCAACGCACTTGAAACCTTGCAAGGCAAGGTGGCTCACTTGATGCCCTGGAGGGCGAAGTAGACGGCACGGAGGTTGATGATGTTGCGCAGATCAGCGAAGGCCTGAGTGGCCTTGATGAAGCCGGTGGGCGGGTTGGGCACGGCCCAGTAGCGCGGCATCTCGAGCAGCGTGTAGTAGATGTCGTACCGTGGCTGCATGTCAAATGTGCTCACGTACCGCCACAGCACCACCCTGAACACACCATTAACCAAACAGGCGCGCATGTGAAGGACAATGAGAGAACGTGGGAATGTGGGGAGGGGAGGATGAGCAGTGAGGTGAGAAGGAGCTGTGATGGCAGATGAGATGCTGAAATCGGCATGAATGGCATGGCCAAGGCCGCCCCTCACACAGCTTGGCTGATTCCTTACCAGATAACAACCGCAGCCACTTGCAGCGTGAGGGAAAGCATGTCGATCCAGTTCCAGAAACAGCCAAAGTAGCTGAATGCATAGCCATCCTTGGCAGCGCGGTCGGCCATCTCCTTCAGCTCGCCAGCCACATTCCAGAGCAGCCCCACCAGGTAGATCACCTCCAGCACCAGCCGTGCGATGTTGTCCGCCGATGCATCGTACATCGCCATGGCTGCCGGCTGTGACTTGAAGCTCACTGCCATGGCGCCCCCCCCGTTCACCTTGCAGGTCACTGTGGTCAGCACGAACGTGAGCGAGTCGCCTGCCAACAGGAGGTGAAGGTGGTGGATGCATGAGAAGGGGACGGGACTGAGCAGTGAAGGCCGGTACAACACAAACACGCACGCACGCACGCAGGCACGCACGCACGCACGCACACACACGCACACACGTTCCGGTGGTTGAAAGCAAAAGCAATTACCGTTGAAAGTAATGAAGCTGACGTCCACAGTGCGAGTGCCGTTGTCAATGTAGCTGCCATCCACCAGGTAGTGCAGACGACGCATGGCCGCCTCGTAGTCAAGATTGATGTCAAACACCAAGGGGAGCGTTGTGAGCGAGGCCTGCAGAGATATCACAGTGCAATGGAAACCATCACTAACAAGTGCGCCCCAAGGCAGCAATATTAAATCCTCACAAACAACTCATACCTCCCTCATTTCATGTAAACTAGACTCATAATTCAGTGTTTGTATCAATATTCCAGTGTGGACATAGCCTTGAAGAATGGGTGATAAGCACCAAGTGCACCCGTCATTGGGGATTGTATTGAACTCAATCTAATCCCCAATAGAGCTCATTATTCACGCAGTGAAGGAGCTCTGAGTTGCAACATTCAGCGAGTCATTACACCACCTGCATAGGGTACGCAGCAATGGTTTGCAAAGGCGAATTATGCAGAGCACAATCGGTTGAAATGGGTGACCATGGGGAAGATGAGGGCCATGCCATGACTCACTATGGGGTAGATGAAGCCGTAGGGGAGGCCTTGCGGGTTGAAGCGCAACTTGACACCAAAGGTGTTGTTGTCGAGCTGGCTCATGTTGGCGCTGGCAGCGCTGTCGTAGATGGCCGATGTGGGCAGGAAGTGCGGGTTCACTCCAAACGGTTCCAAGGATGTGCCGTTGCTGCACCACCCCGCCAGGTGCAGCAGGCTGGGGGGGAGGGCAGGGAGGAGGCAGAGGTGGAGGGGTGGGGGAAGAGACGGTGCAGAGCAGCTTTGGAAAAGGAGGATATGAAGAGAAACTGGTGGATGCACACACAGCAACAAAATCAGGCGAGCATTACACTAGCCTGACAAGTAACACCCCATTTATTAGAACCACTCACCCCGTTCCGTTGCACTGCTGCGTGCCCCACCGGTCCTGCTGCAGCACCATGCCGATCAGCAGACTGCCACGGAGGGAGAAGAAGGGAGGGGATGGGGGGAGGGGGGATAGCAGAGGAATATGGCAGAGGGTGGATGGAAGTTGATGGTGGTGGGGAGCTGCAGAAAATGTGATGGGCAAAGGGAAGCTGACGGAACAAAAACATGTCGCGTGGGTGTGTGCAGTCTGATGTGCCTCTTGCACAGATGCGAGACGACACGGCTGAGAGCGGTGCCTCTCTAAGTGGCCCAAGACAGTGTTGGGTACAAGTGTGGCGGCTGGCAGGGCTGGCAGGGAGGCAGGGCAGGCAGGGCAGGCAGGGAGGCACGGGGCCGTACCGATTGCGGCGAGACACGTAGCGGTTGACAGCAATGCCCCGCTCAGCCGCGAAGGCGAAGTTGCTCTCGGTGTAGTTGGGGCCGTAGCGCTGCAGTGAGAAGGGGAAGTTGAGATTCGTGCCCACCGCCGTGGATAGACAGCACGCTGGGGAAGGAGGGAAGACGGGGAGGGAAGGAGGAAGAAGTAAGGGGAGGAATATGAGGAAGAGCGAGCAGGGATATTGAGACAAATAGTTCAATGGAAGAAAGCGCAAGCCATGAATCAGGAGGAGTGAAACGGGACTAGGAAGTGAGCTGGAGAGGCGGGTGGAGCGGGGAGAGGGATGACTGACAGCCGTCGTTGCGGCGGGTGTGGCCGGGGGGGCAGGGGCAGATGCCGGGGCCAAAGAGCGAGTCGACACACGCGCAGTCACCACCGTCAAAGGCGCACGCGGGCGTGTTGCACGCCGCATCGCACACCCCGTTCGCCAGCCGCTGCAGCCGACACCCCGGCGAGCACTCGTACGTTGCTGAGGCGGAGGAGGAGGTGGAGGGTGTGGTGGTGTTGGCGGTTGTGAAATGTGCGGTGCCCAAGAGAGTGCTGCTATCAGAGGCATTCACAGCACCTGCTGTGCATGCATGGCAGGCACGGATGACAAAGAGGAATGGATGCAGTAGGGGCGGGTCGGGGCGAATGCAGGACGATGGGATGGTGAGGGTGAAAGAGAGCACAAAAACACAGTGGCATGCAATATGGGACAGAGCATGGCACGCAGTATGGCGTACAGCATGGCATTGGCATGCAGCATGGCATGTTGTATAGCATGGTATGTAGGAAGGCATGTGGTGTGGCATGGCATGTGGTATGTCATGGCATGTCATGGCATGTGGTATGTCATGGCATGTGGTATGGCATGGCATGTGGTGTGGCACGCATGCTGAGCTCACCAGCAACCTCAGCTCCTGCTCGTGCAGGCAGCACAGTGAGAAGAGACACATCAGAGGAGGAGGAGGAGTCGTCGAGCGAGAGAGTGCCGTCCTCGTAGTGAATGGTAAGCGGCTCGTAAAACACCTTGCTGTACGCGAAGGAGCTGGGGGCCTCATCGTCCATCCCTGGTTGAAGGGTTTGTGAGAGGAGCAGGGAGGAGTGGAGGACAATGAAAGGAGGACTGGTGTGAGAGGATGCGGCAACAGGTGAGATGGTAGGACCTAGGCCGCCATGGTAACTTCGTACAGCTCAGCTTCGCAGGAGGGTCACACACGCAATGAGTATAGAGGTAGTTGTTTGGGCTCTGAAGGAAGCGGACAAGTTCAGAATCAGTTCGGATTCGACTCAAACATGTTCGTGTTGGTGTTTGGCTCATGCCTACCACCGCTTACTGAGCACAACCCCCACACCACTCACTCAGCACGCATGGTTGTGGTTCTTCAACAGTGTCCCCCGCGCCCACGTTCATGTGAGTGCATGTCAGCTGGCGCGACACGACCAGTCGGTGCCCCCCAAAGCCCAGAAATAGCGGGTCCTCTGCCTCACCCATTGCTGCCACTGATGGTGGTGGCAGTGGAGCAAGAGAAAGAGAGTACTGGGGAATCAGGAGTGCAGGCAAATAAGTAAACCGCGGTGTCGCGGAGTAGAGTTCAAGCGAAGTAATAAGATGAATTCTGCAAAAGGCGCAGCGTAGGTTGCACATAAGAGCTAGTGGCACCAATGGAAGTGGTAGCGTTTTGTGTACCTTTGAGGGAGTGCGGGAGGTCGTCATCCCACACCCAGGTGACCTTGTCGCCCACATGGATGGTCGTGTTGTGCTTCACACCCGCGCGCCATGGCAGCCATGCTCCGCCTGGAGGGAGACAGCAAGGGGAGAAGGAACCGCGGCAGTCAGAATGATTCGTTTGATTGAGGTGCCTACACCTACCCATCCCTCTGCATGCACGCATATACACCTACAACCACGGACACATGCACATGCACATGCATATGCACTCACCGCCCAAACCACCAGCCATGAGCACCTTGCGAGCAGCCGACAGCGTCGGAGGTGACGATGGCATCATCAAAGGAGTGCATGAGCGTGTTGAGGCGCGCCGCAGCCGCATCTGAGATGAGCGTCACGGACCGCAACGCTGCCCCCACCATCTGCACGAAGCGCCGCATGTGCTGCGATGAGATCACGCGCCCGCCCCTCACATGCGTGCTGCGCAGGTACACATACATGTCCGAAATCGACACCACCTGCTGCCCTGCCGTATCCGTGAGGCGGCACTCATCCATCGTCGTCACAGGCCCCCCCAGCATGGTGCAAAAGCACGCCACCATGTTCCACCGCAGGCTGCCCGGCCCTCCCTGTGAGTGCTTCCGGTTTGCTCCCGGCCCGTGCCCAGCTAGGCACTGATCCTTGGTCACTGTGAAGAGCGCTCGCGACACCGCCACCTGCAGGGCTGTCAGTCGCTGGCGGTCCGTGGCGCCCAGGAGCGACCAGAGGGAGGGCTGTGAGGGGTCTCCTGCGGCTGCTGTTCCCGCCGCTGCCATTGCTGCAGCTGCAGCTGCTGTTGCTGCTGAACCTGTTGGCATCGCTGCTGCTGGTGTTGATGGTGGTGCTGACGCTGGTGTCACTTCAAATTTCTGTGCTTCCTGCGGGTGTGCTTGTGCGAGTGCCATGGCAGCAGCAGAGGCCGAGGCCAACGCAGCAGGAGAGTCGACAGCAGGGGCAGCGAGAGAGCGCACTTCAGCAGCAGGCAGGGAGGAGGTGTCATGCGGGCCAGGGGCAGTGGAGGCGGGCCAGTGGTGATAGCTGTGGGAGTGGTGGAAGCGGTAGAGCGCCTTGCGACGGTTGTCACCAGATGAATGAACTGCTGAGTCTGAGCCTCGGATGAGACGCAGACAGTGGGATGTAGTGAGGGGGGTTACGGCAGCAAGGAGGGGAGGGGTGAGGCACTCAGTCTGACGAAACGTATCAGCAGAGCAGGGAGCGGCAAGCAGAGGGAGGGAGAGCCTAGGAGAGATCGAGTGGACAGACTGCCACAATCAGTGAAAGGAGCGCATTCGAGGGAGGCTGGTTTGGGGCACGAATGGAAGGATGTGCATGATATGGACCATGTGGTGCTGGCTGGCTGGCACATGCGATTAGTGCATACCTGAAACGTTGCAGGGGGTGTTGGCAAACAAAGATGCGATGTCCGGCTGGAGATATTAGGCGAAAGGGCATTGGAGGGGGAGTTGTGTGGCAGGGGAGAGGGAGAACCAAAAAGAGTGGGTGGGGTCAAGTGAGCAGATGAAAAAAGGACGGGGCAGAATGGAAAAGGACACGCAATGGGGCAGGGATGCGGTAGCATGGTGCAGGGCAGGTGGTATCGCCAAGAGTATGAAGAGAATTGGCATCACGACACACAGGATGAGCAGGGATGCATGCGGCACGGCAACATGAAGCGGGAAGCGCAGCATGGGGCAGGAAGCGCACCGTGGGGCAGGAAGCGCAGCATGGGGCAGGAAGCGCACCGTGGGGCAGGAAGCGTTTGCATAGGAGGTGATGGTAGAAGGTGCAACGATGCACATGCGCGCACAGTCCACGAACGCCCCTGCCACCTCCCTCTCCGTGAATGCCCGCCCACATGTTGTTGGCAGGCAGGCCACTAGCCTCTCACATGTCTGCACTCAGCCACGCATGAAGGCACGCACACATGCATGTACGCATACAGTCAAGCATCAGCTGTGACCAATAGCATGCACAGACTTATCTTGGGAAGACGCCAGCAGAGATTAGAGGAAGGCCTACAGTGGTAGCACATGGAGCAACGGCATGCTCACATCACGACAGATGTCAGGCGAAGCACCAGCAGCGCCGCCACCTGGCTCCGTCTGATTGGTGGACGCAAGGCCATCTTCGAGCGAGCAGGACCCCCAGGCAACAAGCTGGACGGTGGAGGCGGCGCCGACGACGGAGAGGCGCTGTGTGCCGGGAGGGGGCGCGTGCACGGTGCCGCGGATGCCCCCCGCGGGCGCGTTGAGCACCACCACCCAGTCGCCGTCCGGAATGTCCACCGCCACTGATACTTCCGTATCGCCTCGTGGGAACGGCTGGTATGTCTCGTACCTAAATCAACCGCACGGGCACTCAAAATGGAATGAGGCGGGGTGCGGTGTGGGATAGGGTGGCATGAGTAGAGTACACAGAACGGAACGGCAAGAAGAGCAGAGAGAGGTGGGAGGACGGAACATGCAAGGAGAGGGCGAGCATACCAGCAGAGGGAGACCGGGCCGACCATGCAGAGGTTCCACGAGGAGTCGTCAACGGCCTGCTGTGTGTCGAGGTGCGAGGAAAATCTGATGACAATGGAGGTGAGGTTGGGGAACGTGCCGCAGTCCGCCTGGCAGCCAAAGCGGCCGAACGCGGGGAACTGGAAGGGGCGGTCGCACGAGCCGTCTCCACATGTGGGGTCCGCCCACAAAGTCTGCAGGGGATGCAGGAAGAGAGGGGGGGGGGGGGGGGGGGGTAGTGAGGAGGGGACAAACAAGGTGTGTGCGGGTTGTGATGCGGACAATTGTGAGGTGTGATGCGGTATGGGTAGGCGGTGCGGTGCGGAGCAGGGGCCAACACACGGAACGTGCAGGAGGAGCGATGATGCAGAGACGAGCGGCAGAGGGACGCACCTGCACGATGCTGGTGTTGAGCCAGCTGTAGAAATCGTCCGGACCGTTGAAGGTGTTGGAGGCGTCCTGACTCATGCCCTGCAGTCAGGCGGGGAGAGACGCACGCAGGACGGAGGGAGAGGAGAAGTGACTGGGAGGAGAGGCGGCAATAGTGGAGGGAGCTAAGAAAGGGCACAGCGGGGAGTTCTAATGCATGTTGGTTTGAATGCGCGCTAGATTAAACGCGCGCTGGATTACATGCGCGCTGAGTTGTATGTGCGCTAGTTTGAATGCTTACTTACCCAATTGAATGCGCGGAAGAGGGTGAGAGCAGCGGGAGAGCAGAGCATACAGGCGGGTAGAGGACAGAGGCAAGGAGAAGGAAAGCGTGCGGCATGTTGGAGCATGCATACGGGGGGGAAGAGCACGGCGTGCGCGGCGGTGATTTCGTAGCTGCGGGAGGAGTCGGCCTGGAGGTAGAGGATGGTGATGAAGAGCGCCATGAGCACCACGAACCCGCCCAGGTCGCGGTAGTGCTGCACGCGCTGCTGCAGCGCCACCACGCGCACAAACGCCTCTGTCATGCGCGCAAAAGGGGTGGAGAGGAGGAGGGGAACGGGCGTCACGGTTAGTTGAGGCAGTTACGAGCAGCAGCAAGAACGGTGCAGGTGGCGCGGAACGCCAAGCAGTAAAGCACCGCTCTGAACCTGGGCGCACCTTGCAGCACCTCTCTGTCCATCTCGTCCATCTCCGCGTCCTGCAGAGTGACGTCGCTGGCCGAGCGCGACAAGCCGTCAAGCGCGCCCCGCGCCATGGTCTTCCCCGTCGTATCCTCCGTCAAGCTGCGCTTCAATAACGCCCCCGCCGCGACCGCCTTCCCCTCTCCGCCCTCTGCGCCATCCTCGCTATCCGCGCCATCCGCGCCATCCGCGCAGATGTCGTCGGCGCGCGTGCTTGCCCGCCTGATCTTCTTGCGGCAGTATTGCAGAAAGCCCCGCAGCCCCCTCTCGTCCTCCGGCGCGCTCTCGAGACTGCTTGTGCTGCTGCTGTTGACGCTGCTGAATGGCGCACCCCTAGTCTTCGAACCAGCTCCGCCAGCTCTCCCTTCCTCCGTCAACCTCTCTGCCGCTCCGTTTTCCGCGCACTTGCCGCCGCAACCCTGCTCTTCCCCGTCTCTCACTGCGACCTGATGAACCGACGAGCTCTCTTCGACACGTGTCATGAGCTCCGCATTTTGCGGCGCGTATCCATAGCTATCGAAAAAGTCCAAGTTGTGCTGCTCGTGGCTGCGAGACCCCGAAGACTTGCGCCTTTCATAGGCGGAGGCGGAGGGCGGGAAAGTTGGAAATTGGCGGAGTGGAAGGGAAAATGCAAGGCGGGGCGGAACTCAATTGCGTGCTTTTTTTTAAAACTGGAAGATGCACTACGAAGACAACAAAGAAAACTCGTAAACCTGCACCTATAGGTAACGCAAGTAACGCCATTTCCAGCTCACCGTGCTGCATCCGTGGTAACTAGAATTCAGGCAAACGCGATGCTCGGCTCACCTGGAAGAAGCGTCGGACTTGGATCGAACCCACATGCGGTAATTGGCCGCCTCGTACGCGTCGAACTTGTCGTCTAGCAAACTCTCCGACCGCGTCAGCACAGCTTCTCTGTCGCCATTCGCCTCCGCCTTCCTCTTCGCGCGCACTACTGCGACCGCCTCCGCCATAATCGCTACTGCGGCGAGAGGCAAGAAGCAGGCGTGGCAGGGCTAGGAACTTTGTAAGCCGCAACTACCTAGGGTTATGACGAGACATTGATGTTCTGAGTGTGGTCGGTAGCAATAGGATACGCCAGGAGGATGGTACAGGGAGGGTGTGGCGGTGCAGAACTGAAGAACTGAGGGTGTCTTGAAATGCCGAGAAGTGAAGTGAACCGTCGGATGCTGGTTCAAACTCTGACAATTCAGCTCTCTCGACATATTTCGAGGTTTCTCGACGTCCCCGCCCAACTTGAGAAACCCCTCCAGTGATGGAAGGGAAGTATGTGACGACAGAAGCATGGGTGGGAGACATAAGTAGCATTGGACGGGAGCGACGAGAGTCACGCAGGGGACGCCAAAATAAGGATACAACAGCATTGAATCTACGTCACAAGTCGACTGGGATCCCAAAAATGGGTTCTCGGGATGTTTTGGGTGGGGGTCCTGCAGACAGACTTGTAGGCCAGATTCACCCTGTCACTGCACCGTGCGAGGTAAGGCATCGCGGGTTGCTGTGGATTGCGTTGCTTGCGGTTCCGAACCAACAGTGCTGCCTGACTGAGGGCCCTGAGGGATGCTGTTTTCGCCTACGCCTATTTCAGTAGGGCGAAGGCTGGCGACTGTTCGATCTGTAAGTAACCGACTAACAATGTCGGGAACACGGGTGTACAAAAAGGGGTACTTGCCCTTTCTGTTATCTCTCCTCTCCACCACACGTTTTCTGACAAAGGGGGACGTGTGTATTGTACAAACTCCACACATTTCATAATTGTCTGATTACTGCACAGTGGCAGGTGTACAGTTGCTTATTTGTTCTTATGGGTAGACTCACTTGTCTTGTCTGTACAGTGGCAGGTTTCTTGCCATAAGGCCTCTTCACTTACATTCTCAATATACCGTGTGCCATACTGGTTGTGCAGATTCATATAGAATACATGTGGCCTTCCTAACACATTCATCTTCGGATAGAATGAATGACTTCCTCAGGTTGGCAGTTTGCATGCCTGAAAACAATTTATTTGAGAGAAGATAATCTCTACTGGTACAGGATGGTTGTGAAGTGAGGCCTTATTGGCCAACCTAGAACTAACAAATCATGCTCTACATGCGGAAGGCTGTCCTTCCGCTCCCTAGAAGTGTATCATAATTTAGTGCTCTGCGCGCTCGGTGCAGAGACGGGGACAGATTTGTAGTAGGAGGGGCAGACAGCTGGGAAGAAGACTCGCCGTACGCCCTCGGCCTTGATGATTGGCACAATCAGCTGCACAGCTCCCTGCACGCACAGCCATGGCCACAAGCAGAGAGGAGGGGAGGAGGTGGAGAGCGAGAGGGGGGAGGGAGCTTAGGACATAACACCGCAAAGCCTTAGCCGATCGCATGGACGCATCGCACAGGTGCACAAATGAGGGGCATGGGCTGCAGCATCAGAATACATTTCACGAGCAGCAGAACCTGCCTGGTTTGCACCGGACCTAGGGCACACGAGTGCCCGTACCTGTATCAAGCGTGCGCCGAGCCAGACGCGGCCGGGCTTGGGGAGGGGCAGGAGGAGGCGGGCGAGGGCAAAGAAGGCGACGGCGAAGAAGTGCAGCACGAGGCTCAGCGGCTGCGGGTTGAGCCCCGACAGCAGCGAGATGGGGCCCTCTGAACACGCCCCGCCCAGCTGCAGGTAGTCAAAACACGCCTGCAGAGGGGGAGGAACGGAGGTTGGAGGGCGGGGTGTGGGGATGGGAGGGGTGGACGTTAGAGAGTGCTGTGGGTTTGGTGGGCTGGTGTAAATGCTGCTGACTGAGTGCGTATGGTGCAGTGGGGTGGCGGGTGAGTGGCAGGGAGCTGTGGCAGCAGCAGAAAACATGGGTGACAGTAACATGGCAGGGAGTATTGCGAGTAGAGAGTGCGGGTGGGGGAATGCGTGGCAACAGCAGTGCAAGGGAGGTGGGGACGGGAGGGGGACCTTACCTGGCGCATGGCCATCATGGCCTCGTCCTTGGAGGCACAGAAGACCCGGTAGAGTGCGATGGAGAGCGTGTTGATGGTCGCTGCTATGGGCTGCACCACATGCATGGCACGTATGGAGAGCAGGGCACATGGGAGGCAGGGCACAGGCACCAACATATAGGACACGCTTAGTGAGTGGTTGGCACAAGCACCTGTTAGCACGAGCAAGAATCAGCTGTATGCTTCACACCTCCATGCTACACACCATCACATGCTGAGCACAACACATTCCGTCGCTCGCGGCCTTAACCAACCCGTGCCACCTAAGACCAACTCACACACACAGACACGCGCGCACGCACACACTCACGCAGACACACCTTACGGCGCGTGTAGAATGCCTCGGCGTATTCACAGACCGCCCGCGTGTTGCGGAAGTCCTTGAGCGGGCGGAGGATCTGAGTCAGCACTGACACGTCAGACAGAGCCACTGTCATGCCGCCACCTGTCGTTGCGGGGCATCAAGCAAGCACCCAGAGACAAGCAGAACGATGGCATGGTATGGAGGGGCGAGCAGTGAGGCGCAAAGGGGGCGAGGGTATGGGAGTCACTGGGACGCAATTGCGTGGCGCCAGGACGAAGAGGCACATGTGCGAGTGGTGGCGCTTGTTTCCTGTGAGCAGCATGTGGTGCATGTTACAATAGCGGGCGGAATGAGCGCACCTGTGAGCGGGTGGCGCATGTTGAAGGCGTCGCCCATGAGCAGCGCGCCGGGGCGGGTGACGGGGACAGCTGGCATGATGCGATTGGGCATGCAGCGGATGTCGCCCGCCCGCACCGCCTCACGGAACGGCCCCTGCAGCTGCTTCGGTAGCTGGGGGGTTGGAAAGGAGAGGCGGGGGAAGGGGTGGGGACGGGAGTGAGGCCAACACGAGGTGAATTGGGGTGCTCAGGCGAGGCAGGGGAGGGCGAGGCGCATCAACGCAGACTGTAGGCGCTAGAAGGAGCATAATTGAGCGAATGAAGCGCAGTCAGAGGAAATAGGGGTTGTGGGGAGGAGAAGGAAAGGGGGGGGGGGGGGGGGGGGGGGGGGGGGGGGGGGGGGGGGGGGGGGGGGGGGGAGGGGAGCGGAGGGAAGGACGAGGAATCTGGGGCGTACCTGCGGGAGGACGTTGGAGAGGAGGTAGTCGGCCATGTCCCCCGAGGCGATGGAGGGCACCTTGGTGCCGGCGGGGATGTCGACGAGGCAGCGCACCTCCGAGCTGCTGACCGGGTAGAAGAGCACGGGCGACGGGTCCGCCAGCACCACGTGCCCGTAGTTCGGGTGCGGTAGGGGGCAGTCGCGCAGCAGCAGCCCCACAAACGACGACGGCACGTCCACCTGCCGGGGGGGGGAGGGGACATGGGGGAGGCGCGGACGACGGGAAGGAGGGAGATTGAGCTAGGAAAGGCGGGCTGATAGGTCGGAAGCGCTTGGCGGAAAGATTGAAGGTTGGTGGATAATTGTGGAAGGAAGTGTGTTGGCGTGGAGTGGAGAAGCGAGAGGTGAGGGGCGAGGGGCGCGCGCACCTTGGATTTGGAGATGGAGCGGCGGAGGTTGGAGAAGCAGCCGTCACACACGAACGTCAGCGGCGCCAGCATCTCACCCTCCTCCGTCTCGCCCTTCCCGCCCACCGCGCCCGCCTCCTGCGCGCTGCCCGGCGCGCGCTTGGCGGCGCGGTAGCGCACGCCCGTGACGCGGTCGCCGTCCTCCAGCAGGCCCAGCACCGTCGCCTCTCTCAACGTCACTCTGCGTGGAACGTAGCGTGGGGCGGGTAGGGGCAGCCGAGGAAGATGCGGGAGCAATAGAGAAAATTCAGGGGAGAAATCAGGCGACCTACTCCACACTGCGTCCCACCAGCGCATCAATTCTCTAGAATGAGTCGCTCTATGCCAAGACAAACGCAAATCACGGCCTCGCATGAAACCCCCGATCTCTCGCCCCTGTGCTCGTAACCGCCTGCCCTCGTCTTTCCCCCAAGCAGTTCCTTCTCACCCTATCTCCGGCCGTAATCAACCATAGCCCCGGCCTAATCAGTCATAATCCCAGCGTCATCAGCCGTAGTCCTGGCCTCATTAACCGTAGCAACGGCGGATCCCAGTCCCGTACTCACGTGGGCAGCGACGCCGCCTTCTCGCGCAGCCGCTGCACGAACCGGCCGTTGTGGAAGCCCCGCCCCGCCACCTTCCACATCTCGTCGCCCGCTGCGCTGCTCCCCGCGCCTGGTCGCTCCGCCAAGTCGAGGCGGTGGCCCGCGAAGAGCATGTGCAGCTGCGACGTGGAGAGCGTGGGGTACGACACCTTGCAATCGCCGCCGTCCATGAAGAGCGCGTAGCCGTCCACGCGCTGCGCGTCGATGCCGTCCACGCAGTCTGCGCACACACGCGCGCCACGGCGAAGACCCCGGCGGCAGAGAAACACAGCGCAGAGGCATGAATGAATCACCGAAGCGCAATGTGAGGGGAAGGGATATCAGATCTTTAAGTACCAGGGACGAACATCGACTAACTTCGTATGGCGCAATCGCATGGGCTAGCGCTGAGCTTGCACTGTGACGGCGACGCACCTTGCATGCCCAGCTCGACGAGCTTGAGATAGCCGCCAGGCTGCAGCAACTCGCCCACGATCCGATCCGGCTCCGACAGATCCCTCTCCAACACCAGCACTCGCCGCCCCGTCTGCCGCACAGCACCGCACACCACCAAGTACAGGCGAATCAGGAGAGGGGAAATTGGAAAATGGCCGAGGATATACACCAGGCGGTTACAGTTAACGCGATTCGACGATCAGGCTAGGAAATGGGTCGCGTCTAACCTTTCCGAGGGAGTAAGCGAGCGCGCATCCCGCAATGCCTGCGCCGACCACCAGCGCGTCGTACTCCTCCCGGCCGTCGTCCGCCGTGCCCGCGCCGTCGCTCTTTTCCGCGGCGCTGCTCTGATCTACTCGCGCATCGTGCCGCCCGGCGTCAGTTAGTCGCTCCAGCGGCATTTCTTCTAGTGGCGTGGCACTAGCGAGCGCATCTCGTTGTTTGTCGCGGGAGTATTGCATCGAGATGTACGTGGCGGCTATTAGCAGTGCTAGCGTCCACGCTAGCGTGACCGTGCTGATCCCGTCCACCACGCTCCAGAACGACGCCGTCAACGACGACATATCCGCCATTGCCGCGGACACGTCACGCTCTCGGATCTAGCGGTAATTAGCTAGTGCTTCACGAACACGAGAGTGTCCGCGTAACTGTTGAGTGCCAGAAGGGCATGGGAAGAGGAAAATTCTTCTGCGCGACGCAGTCTATCTGAAGGTAATCAGCATTGCTGGAGGGCAAAAAGCCAGTCACCAATGGGACTGGACTGGACTAAGCAGATAGAGGCTGTAGGGGGCTGGGGGGAAGAGATCTAAATTTCTCCAGCAGGGGTACCACAAATCGCTGCTGGGGCTGGTCGGGAAATGCCTGGTTTTGCGCGCCAGCACATTCCTGGGGATTGAGTTCAGCTGGAATCAACGGCGCAGAGCAAGAACTCCCTCGTTTCGTGGCACGTGGCTCATTGTAACTCGTTAAACAGCTGGCGGGAAACTGGGTGGTGAATCGGGTCAGGAGGGGAACGGGGGAAAGTCTCACACGTAAATCTCCCGGTAGATTCAGCCGCACAATGGGAGCCAATGCCATCCCATCGCTGCTGGCACGTGTGGCGCAAATATGAAATCATCGAACCTTCTGCACTGAAGCCGCCAATGGCTCGAGGACGCGTTCTTTCTGCTGCAATTATTCACGGACACTCCAATTGAGCTCAAGCAACTGATGAGTGTCGGTTTGTGTGTCGGCATTTCTAAATCCTGACGTGAAAAGGCATACCAGAGCTCGATGATCAACTTGATTACCAAAAGAATCCGGTGAGGCTCATTCTAGCGCGGATATTTTATGGGGCCTAGCATTTGTGGGCACGACTTGCTATGAGCGTAGGGGTCTGCTTGTTCGCTCTCATCTTTGTTGTTCCCCTTACTAGCAGATACTGTAAGGAAGGGATAGGTTTCTGCCAGACAGTCACATCACAGCGTTTTGGTCCTTCATCTTGTGTGCCGAGTAGGACCTTGGCGATCATAGAAAGGCCCAATGGCGGCAGCACCAGAGCACGTGGACGGCATGTATCCACCCGCACCAAGCTCCGCAGATCGTGACGTAGACCACACGCAGTCGTCAATCCCGGCCGTTAGTTCCGCCGAAGGCGTGGTTTCGGGGTTGCCGGTGGCGAACAATGACGGAAACGGAATCTTAGCTGGTAACGTCAACGGAGACGGAGGCTTAGGCACAGACGGAGGCATGGACGGAGGCGGCGGAGCGACGGGGTTGGAGGATCATACGGCCGGCGGAGACCAGAGCGTGGCGACGCCGATGACGGAGCGCAAGCGGGAGAAGCAGATGGAGGTGTTCGTGGGCGGGCTGGACAAGGACGCCTCGGAGGAGGACGTCAAACGCGTCTTCGGCCGCGTCGGCCAGATCGCGCAAGTGCGCCTGCCGCGCGACGCCGCCACGGGGCGCAACAAGGGCTACTGCTTCGTGCAGTACGCCACTGAAGGCGCTGCGCGCCGAGCCGCCTCTGAACTGGACCGAATACTGGTACGCGCCGGTCGCTGCTGTAAAAGTCCTGGCCTTGTTTCGCAGAGTCATGTCATAATGCTTAGACGCCTTATTGGAGCCTATCTTTCGCGTGTGCAGGTGCGGGGTCGGCCGGTGGGGGTGTTGGGCGGCGAGCAGGAGGACACGCTGTTCATCGGGAACATCAACAAGACGTGGTCCAAGGCCAAGGTCAGTCACGCTACAGCAATCGCGAAAGCGCTTTAAGGCTCAAGTCCCGCTTAAAGCGAACAGAGAGGAAATCTTAGGGTGCGTGTGCTTCAAGCCATCATGCACGACGGCCATCTTATTCATCGCTTTCACATGTTGTTTCCATTCGTCTGCCCTACCTGTCATCCCTGCTGTCCCCGCCGTTCCCGCCGTGCCCGCCGTCCCCGCCGTGTGCTGCGCGCGCGCCATGGGTGGCAGATAGAGGCGGTGCTGGCGGGGGCTGGCGTGGGGCCGTGGGAGGCGCTGACGTTCATGGAGGATCCGCAGCACGCGGGGCACAACCGCGGCTTCGCCTTCCTCGAGTTCGCCTCGCACCGCGCTGCTGCCGCCGCCAAGCAGCGCCTGCAGCAGGCGGACGTCAGCCTGGGCGTCGACCGCCCGCCCCGCGTCTCGTGGGCCGCGCCCCTCAACGAGCCCGACCAGCGCGTCATGGCGCAGGTGTGTGGGGGCGATGGCATGGCAGGCATGGGACGCTGCTGATGGCTGTCGTTGCGGTGTCCGTTCATGTCAATGCACCCCTATCGCTGAGCGTGTGTAATCATCCCCCTGGCACCCGCTGCTTCTCTCACCCGCCTGCGTCTCACCCCCCTCCCCCGCCCGCCAGGTGAAGAGCATCTTTGTGGACGGCATGCCGCCCTCGTGGGACGAGCCGCGGGCGGCGGGCTTTTTCGGGCAGTACGGACAGATAGAGCGTGTGGTGCTGGCGCGCAACCTGCCGTCCGCCAAGCGGCACGACTACGGCTTCATCAACTACACCACTCGCGAGGCTGCCCTTGCTGCCATTGCCGCCCTCAACGGCTCACACGTGGTGGATGGAAACTTCCAGGCAAGTGTTCTCATCTCACGCCCAGCCCATGTGTGTGCTGTGCGTGCCCACTGGCAGATTGTCATGCCGTGCCTCATCTGTTCTTCTCTCTGCTGGCCCCATACCCCGCGCTCATCACCTCGTTCCGCTCACTGCCCCCACCCCACGCCCTTCTTCCCCTGTGCGCGTCTCACCCGCCGCATGTCCGCTTGTCCCCTCTTCCCTTCCCCCCTTCGCCCCTTCCCCCCTTCCCCCACAGATGAAGATGCGGGTGACTCTAGCCAAGCCCCAGGACCGCAAGCCGCGCCACCCGCCTCCCAGCAGCAGGGTGGGCGGGGGGGAGCAGCGCCGCGCAGACTTTGGGGACGGCAGCGTGACGGCGCTGCTGGAGGCGCTGCGGGAGCAGGCAGAGCGCGAGGAGCGCGGGGAGGGCGCGCAGGGGGCGCAGGCAGGGGAGGGGGAAGGCGCAGGGGCGGAGGTAAAACAGGAGGGTGGTGGCGACGGGGGGGTGGGGGGTGGGGAGGGGGTGAAGCAGGAAGGAGGAGGAGGGGTGGGGGAGCAGGAGGGGGGGTTGGCAGGGAGTGCAGCAGCAGCAGTGGAAGCAGCTCTAGCAAATGAATCCCAGGGCGCGGGTGACGGCGGGGAAGGGGATGTGGAGGGGGAAGCAGAGGAGGGAGCAGAGGGGGAGGCGGGGACGCCAGGGAAAGCGCGTGCGGGGGAGAGGGAGGGGAAGAACACGGCGGGCCTGAACCGGTTTGAGTGTGCGGTGTGTGTGTTTGGGTCGGACGACGAGAGCGAGTACCTGTCGCACCAGCTGTCGCGCGTGCACAGCATCGTGAGCATGTTCCGCCAGGACCTCAAGCTGTCCAACAAGACGCCCCTCAGCATGTTGAACGAGCTCGCCATGCGCAACAAGATCGAGGTGAGCTCGCCTTGCCATGCCATGTGCAACAAGATCGAGGTGAGATTGCCCTGCCGTGCCTGCGTGCAGTCGCTGGTACTGTGCCTCTGGTCCAGCCGTTGCCTAAGGACCAGGACCTTAAGCTGTCCAACAAGACGCCCCTTAGCATGCTCAATGAACTCGCCATGCGCAACAAGATCGAGGTGAGATTGGCCTGCTGCTGCTGCTGCTGCTGCTGACTTGTGTCCTCTGCACCACTCATCGCATTGTTACAATCACCCTGCCTGCCTGCACTGCCTAGGAACTGCCCTTGCTCGCTCAGCCATGACCTCAGGAATTCTGTCCGCATGAACACGTTATTCACCAAACCCCTCAATCTCTGCATTCTCTCCCCCCGCCGCCCCACCCCACCCATTCCTGCCCGCCCCTGCCAGGTGACGTACGAGCTCAAGGGCGAGCCAGCAGGCCCCTTTGACGCGTCCGCGTCACTAGGGGGATTTCTGTCCGCATGTGCATTCTTTTCACCAACCTATGCATCTCCTGTCACCGCCCCACCCATTCCTGCCCGGCGCTGCCAGGTGACGTACGAGCTCAAGGGCGAGCCAGCAGGCCCCTTCGACGCATCCGCGTCACTGGGCGGCGGGCCCAACGCGGTGCCGTGGGTGTGTGGGGAGGCGCGCGCGGGCATGAAGCTGCGCGCCAAGCAGATGGCGGCAGCAGCGGCGCTGGAGGCGCTGCTGCAGGCGGGCGTGGGGGAGAGCGAACTCACCCGCCCGGGTCAGGCTAGGCTCAAGCAGATGGGCAGGGGGAAGGGGGGGAGGGGTGCGCCTGGAGGGGCGCAAGGGAGGGGGCGAGGGGCGTATGGGGGGCGCGGAGGGGGGGATAGGGGGCGGGCGGATAGGGATGGTGGGGGGTATGGGGGGTGGGGGACAGGGGATTTGGCAGGGGGACTAAGTGGGTATGGTTCGTTGGGGGTGTATGGGGGAGGGGCGATTGGGGGGGGTTTGGGGGAGGCGGTGGCGGGGGAGAGTTATGCGGAGAGGCTGGGTCGCATTCAGGGCATGCACTATGTCATGCGCTCAGGCCTGCCCCCTGTCTCGCCCACCATGCAGCCTCTCGCTCCTCCCGCTGCCCCACCGCTGGGTGCAGGCTTGGGGGCAGCGGCAGGGGGATATGGTGTTCCCAGCACGGGATATTCCGCCCCTGGGGCTGCAGGGGCTGCTTATGGGGGGCAGTATGGTGGCGGGCAGTACGGTGCGGGGCAGTACGGTGGAGCGCAGTACGGAGGCAAGTATGGCGGGGCTCAGTACGGTGGCTCACAGTACGGTGCGGTGCCGTACGGTGGAGCGCAGTATGGAGGGGCGCCGTACGAGGGGCAGTATGGGCGAGCGGATGGAGCAGCGAGTGGAGTGAAGCGGCCGTATCCCCCTGCTGACAACCCTGACTCACTTGTGAGTGACCTCCGCACCTCCCAGTGCCCACCCGCCCTCCCGCCCCACACTCATCCTTCCCTCTCCTCTCCTTTCCTCCGCTGGCCTTGCCTTTTCTGCCCTTCTGCCATTGACTTAGTCTTCTATTTCTCGTGTTCATTCCTTTCACCCCTCCATCCCCCTCGCCTCCACTCCCTGTGTGCATGCAGCATGCCAGCCAGCGGCCTCGCACGGACCCCTACGCTCCCCCCGCCCCCCCAACGCGCTCTGCCTATCCCAACCCGCCGCCCGCACACCCCTACAGCGCTCCTCCGCCTGCCCACCCCTACTCCACACCCCCCTCTCATCCCTACACCAACCCACCCCCTGCACACCCGCCCCCCTCCAACCCACCTGCCGCCTACCCCTCTGCCCACACCTACTCCGCCCCACCCTCTTACCCGCCATCCTACTCCTACCCTCCTGCCCCTTCTGCTGCTCCATACGGTGCTGGGGGTGCATCATCATCAGCAGCAGCAGCGCCAGCACCAGCGCCACCGCCGTACTACCAGCAGCAGCACCCGCAGGCACAGCAGGGGGCCGGGACGGGCAGTGGCGGCAGTGCAGGCGGTGCAGAACGGTGAGTGCTGTGGGCGGCACTTGTGAATGCAGGGAATGCGCACCCATTCTCGCCTTGTCAGCCGCTGGTTTCATTCCAAGTCCTTGTTGCCCTATTGTTGTCCAAGTTCCTCCACTGCGTCTCCCACCACATACCATGCCTCAACTTTCTTCCCTTCCTTTCTTGACCCTTGCCTCTCCTTCCCTTCCTGTCTTGTCCTTCCGTGTGTTATGTGGGAATGTCACTTTGCATTTCAGCTCGTATGCACACTCTCACCACTACTCGACCCAGCCGCCGCCGCATCAGCAGCAGCAGCAGGCACAGCAGCCCCCCTATCAGCAGCCGTACTCACAGCAGCAGCCGCCACCGCCACAGCAGCCATATCAGCCACCATACCAGCCGCCACAGCAGCAGCAGCAACAGCAGCAGCAGCAGCCGTATGATCAGAAGCCTCCACAGCAACAGCAGCAGCAACAGCAGCAGCAGCAGCAGCAGCAGCAGCAGCAGCAGCAGCAGCAGCAGCAGCAGCAGCAGCAGCAGCAGCAGCAGCAGCAGCAGCAGCAGCAGCAGCAGCAGCAGCAGCAGCAGCAGCGGGCAGCAGGGGGGGCAGAGAGAGGCCGTCTTGGAGAGGGAGGGGGGCAGCAGCAGGAGAAGCGAGAGGGCGGAGGACAGGGGGGCTATGCAGGAGGGGCGCCGCCCCCCAGCACTGCAGGTGGTTACGGGGGTGCATATGGCGGCGCGTATGCAGGCCTGTATGGTAACACCCATACTGCCACCACTTCCGCCGCTCCTGCTCCTCCCGCCGCCCACGCTTCAGCAGCGCCGCCCGCCCAGTCTCAGCCGCCGCCGTCTGCCGGCCAGTCCCCTGCGCCTGCAGGTGGTGCGGGCGGCAGCGGGGGGGCAGCGGGTGCAGGGGGAGCAACGGGGACGAGTGCGTACGGGCAGTATGCCTCGGTGCCCACCACCTACTACTGACCGCCGCTCTGCCACGCCGCTCAGTTGCTTGCATGCCACAGGTGAGTGAGACGCCCTGCAGTGTGGCCTGTTGAGAGTCGTTGTGGCCCCGTGTGGTCCCAGCCATCTCGGCCGCCCTCGTGGGCTGTTGAGCGGCACAATGGCATTGGTATTGGTCGTGCCTCATCATCTCTCTGGACGCTTGCATGCTGGCTTGCCGTGTCTCTGCATGAGTGTGCGAGTGGTGACAGCACCATCCCTTGCATGCTTTTCTGCAACCATGCAGTTGTCGCACGTTGTGTGTACGTGCCCAATCGTTCTGCTCCTCTTGCAAGTCCTCTAGTAGTTGTTGCGACCATTTCTCGTCTGTGCTATTGCCTCTGCCTCACAATTCTTGTGAGTCGACTCAAAAGCCATCCCGTGTGCCAATGTCAATGCTGTCCCCCACAAACTTACCTGCAGCAGACACACTGTGTCTTCTCTCTTCCAAGAGCCGGTTCGGGCTGACCCAGCCCGAACCCTCAGTCAAATGCGAAACCGAAACCTACCGATTGCCTACTTTGAAAGCGAATGTTGAAGGTCGACTGTGAAGCGGCCTGCTTGCATGGCAAACAAGCAGTGCGCTGGTGCTTGTGGCAGCACAACTAAAGCACAGCACAGCAGGTGCGGTCTGTAAGTCTGTGGCACGCAGATCGCAGCGCCTGCTTGCTGTGAATGCCTGCGCGGTCTGTGCTGCCTAATTTCTATTCTTGAAAACATCTTAATTTCTTCCAAGCTGAGCTGGAGCTCGTAAACTCTGACTTACGCTCTCTCCAGGTTTCCTGGGAAGAACAATTGTTCGCATTCGCTGCATTTTTGCTCCTAGGTTTTCATGTCGTATTTGTGATACTACGCTTTCCCTTGCCAGTTTACAATCACGAATGTGGTGCATTGCATTCAGACTGCTGCACCACATGATTTTGGACGATTGATGTGCCATTGAGATATTAGACTATTATGGGGAGGGGGAATTGGATGCTGTAGCAAAATAGGGAGTGAGCTGAATCATGTAGTGGTGACATTGCAGCCAGCAGGCACATCGTTGGGCAGCATTGAGATCCAATTCCACCCATTCTCCTTGAATACCTTTAGCTGGCTTGTCCGTGTGCCCATGTCCTTGAAAGATCGCAGTTAATGATGTTTGAAATCAGTTGGTTGCCAGAACAATCCTTCCAATACGTTTATTGTGGAGAGGTACACGTAACATGTGGGTCTGCTGGCAGGACAGATAGTGCAGGTGGTGTAGATGGAAAAGCAGTGGTGGTGTGCCAACGGTCACTGAACTAGTGTGGGATGCGGCATGCATAGCAGTGTAGTGTGTAAGGAAGATATGGGAGTCCAGCAGAACTATGCATACCATATCCCATGCTTCACAAGTCATAGAAAGTGGTGCTGGTCGCCACCAGGGCTATCCATGCCATATCCCGAGCATTTGATCAAATTGAACGATCACATCAGGCTTGTGTATCGTGTTGTGTCATGATTTTTTTTGCTCCATGACCCATCCTGCTCATTTGAAAGGAAGTCCGAACTTTTTCAAGTCAATTTTGTATGCAAGCCACCCAATCCCAATCCTACCATCTGCATTCACGAGACAACTTGCCAGTTTACATCTTCAATCGTGGCCGCTACTTGGTGTGGGAGGCTGGTAGGCTGGGAGAGCAGGCGGATGGTTGAAGGTGGTAGGCTGCTAGGCTGTGACTGAGTGGATGGTTGGTTGGTTGGTGGTGGCTGTGGCCTGGTACAGGTGTGACTACGTGAGAGACCCTGTTTCTTGGCAGTCCCTGTCATCCTGTAACATGGCCTGTTTGTGGTGCCACGTTCCGTATATGCATACATGCTTCATCCCCTGCAGTGTATGGGAGGGTTCCCTGTACTCTTTTTGCCACGACCACATCAGAGGAGTGTGCCTCTCATGCCAACAGCACCCAGGTCGACTTCCTGTCGTTTCAGCACAATGAGCGAGGGCCTGAGGGAGCGAAGTCCCCTTCATGCCAGCGGCACACGGCACTCGCAGGAGGACACTCCATCCTGCTTGGGTGTTTGTGCCCAGGCGCACTTAGCAGACCCATCCCAGCACAGCACAGCGCAACACATTACACCTAGCACACCTACGCAGACATAGGCGAAGCTAAGCATGGATAAGCACAGTGAAGAACAGCTAGGCACATTCAAGCACAGCAGCAGCCCATCTTGAGCTCTTGGTGGTAAACCGCCATACTGCCTCGGCCCACATGTCTGCTACCTCGCCCTGCACATCACCACAAGAGCCACTTATGAGACATGAAAGAAAGAGGAGATGGAACAGGGGGGCACTTACAAGCTGCAAAAGCGCACAACAGCACAGAAGTGAAGCTGTTAAAAGGGACGAAGTGAGAAATGTATGTTAGCAAGGCCAGCAACTCCCCCCCCAGAATCTCCCACCACACCCACCATGTGGAATGAGCAGCAGTGCTGTTGGTGCCACTGCGTCCCCCGCAGTTGTTGCCAGGGGCAGCGATGCGACATGTAGACGGGAGGACGGGAGAGAGGAGAGAACGAGAAAATAAGGAGAAGGATTAAGGGAGACGATTAAAGCCTAGACAAACAACACAACCAATATCAAGCAACCAGCACATAGAGGCAACCCGGAAGCACTTGGGGAAGTTGTAATCGCCGGTCCATTGCTCAAGTTGAAACTCAGCAAGCACCCCCTGCCACGTACCGCATTCCAGCTAAGTGGCTCCTCCTCCTTGGCAGAACCTGCGCTTCTTTCGTCACGCCTTTGCCCCAAGCAGCACCATGCTGTGGCCCATACTCAAGGCTTCAGGCATGCTGCTCCACGTTGCTCGTGGTGTGCTGTTAATATCTGCAAAGGGAGGGTCTGCCACTCTCCCACTCCTGCGCCACAGCTTCACTTGAAGCGTCCACGTGATGCCATTGCTCTCCATCTCGCACGTAGTGAGGCACACACACACATGGGAAGAGAGAGATACACACAGAAGCAGTGCAATAGAGGAGGGTTAGAAGCAGCAGGAGGCGAGTGATGGACCCGCAAGCAAAAGACACGACTCTTGCCTCTGCGCGGCGACTCACTACGACTCTCTTCACTTCCCCCCCTGCTAGCACCTCCTGGCACATACCACGCTCCATCTGCCGATTTGCCGCTCGGCTACTCTGCCTTCTGCACCACGCCTGTGTGCTGCTCCATGTAGCTCCGCTGCTCCTGCGCCAAGCTTTCACCCCAAGCAGCGACCTGCTGCTGCCCGTGCTCCAGGTTGCTCGTGACCACCACTGCGTTGCTGCAGAGAAGAGGACAGGAGAAGAGAGGAGAGGTTTGGGGGCTGAGAAGAGTGGCACGAACATATGGCAGCACAGCAGCAAGGACTCATGAGAACCTTGGAAGAGTGGTAGACAAGCGAGCAGGAACACGGAATGCAGGAACATGGTGAAAAGTGAAGTGCACACTGCTTGACCTTATGCACTCACAGCTTCTTGTGTGCTCGCCATGACGCTGCAGACGCTGTGGCCTCTGGTGACCCCTGAGTTGCTGCAATTACTGCCTCCCATGAGTGCTGGAGGCGAGGGGAAGAGGAAGAGAGGCGTGAGGATGTGAAAGAGCAGATGCTAGCTTGGAAAGGGACAAAGACAACAAGTAATGCGTGGTGCATTCGCCCTGCTGATGCATCTTCACTTCAGTCAAAGTTACCTCTTGTCTGGGAAGAGATAGAAGCTTGTTGTCCCCATCAATGAGCAGGCAGGTTCACAAAGAGCAATCCGCCACACTCCAGAGCTTGAAGGCTGAGAGGAACACTCACTGGCATGCACACACGCACACGCACACATGCACACCCCCAACCCCCTTCCCCGCTTCCGCCCACACGCACATGCACAGTCCCCGTCCACTCGCTGCCATTCCCGTCCGTCTCGCAGGACGTGAGGCACACATAAGCATGGGAAGAGAAAACACACACACAGAAGCGGCGCAACAAGGGAGGGTTAGGAGCAGGAGGAGAGGAGGCGAGTGGCAACGACAAGAACAAGAGACACGACTCTTGCCTCTGCGCGGCGACGCCCTACGACTCACTTCACGGCCCCCCAGCTAGCACCCCCTGGCACGTACCACGCTCCGTCTGCCACCCTGGCGCTCTGCCTGCACCACGGCTTCTCTTCCATCGTGCTACTCCAGGCTGCTCTGTTGCTGCTGCGCCAAGCCTTCATTCCAAGCAGCGCCCTGCTGCTGCCTGTGCTCCCGGTTGCTCCGTTGCTTCTGCTACTGCAGTCGTTGCTGCCGTCGCAACTACCGGTCGCTGCAGGGAGGAGGAGAGGACAGGAGAGGAGGGGTTAGGGAGCTGAGAAGAGTGGCATGATCATCTGACAGCTGGTAGACAAGAGAGAATGGAACACAGAAAGCAGGAAGATGGCGACAAGTGAAACGTGAAAAGTGGAAAGTGAAGTGGTGAACTGCTTGACCTGATTCACTCACAACCTCTTGTGTGCTCGCCATCATCCTGCAGTCGCTGCAGCCACTGGTAATCCCCGTCCACTCGCTGACACCCCCATCCGTCTCGCAGGACATGAAGCACACACACGCATGGGGAGAGAGAGACACACACAGAAGCGGCACAACAAGGGAGGGTTAGGAGCAGCAGGAGAGGAGGCGAGTGGTGGAGGCAAAGGCAACAGACACGACTCTTGCCTCTGCGCGGCGACACCCTATGACTGACTTCCCGGCTCCCTGCAAGCACCCCCTGGCACGTACCACTTCTCCTACTTGGCAGAGCCTGCCACTCCTGCGCCATGCATTCGACCCAAGAAGCACCTGCTGCTGCCCGTGCTCCAGGTGCCAGGCGTGCTGCTACAGGTTACGTGTTGTCTGCTGCTGATACCTGCAGTAAGAAGGGACTGTGGCTTGTGAGTTGGCCAAAACCAACCAGTGGCGAGATTTCAGAGGAGAAAGCAGTGAAGCACATGCACGACAGGCGATAAGCGCTTGGCATCACAAAAGGCAAAGCGTTCGGAGGAGAAAATACTTGGCTGAAAATTCAAGGCGCTGTTGCATCCACCAGAGCTGCTGCTGTGTCTCGGGCCCAGAACGAAGCGCCCACGCTTGTCACCAACAGTCCACTCCCCGCCATTCCCCTCCGTCTCGCGGGCCATGAAGCACACACTAGGGGAGAGAGGCACGCAGACAGAAGCAGCGCAACACGGGAGGGTTAGTAGCAGAAGAATAGGCAGCGAGGGTGGAGGCAAGGGCAACAGACAAGACTCTTGCCTCTGCGCGGCGACGCCCTACGACTCTCTTCATCCCCCCCCTGCAAGCACTCCCTGGCACGTACCACGCTCCGTTTGCCGCTCGCCGTGCCTTCACGTGATGCGTGCTGCTCCTCGTTTGATCGAGCAACGGCAGCCCCGCCCATTCGTGTCCATTTCCCGTCCACTCGCTGCCATTTGCGTCGGTCTTACGGGTCGTGAGGCCACACATGCACAGGGAGAGGGACACAGACAGAAGCAGTGCGAAAAGGATGGTCAGAAGCAGCAGGAGGCGAGTGGCAGAGGAAAAATCAACAGACGTGACTCTTGCCTCTGCGCGGCGACGCCCTACGACTCTCTTTGATGCCCCCCTGCAAGCACCCCCTGGCACGTACCACAGCCCGCCCACCACTCTGCTGCTCCTGCGCCACGATTTCACTTGAGGCGTGCTGCTCCTGGTTGCTGCTGCTGCTGCAGTAATTGCTCTCGTCATGATCGCCGCCGTGTCTCTGCCTTTGACTTGCCAATGAGCCGTTGCTGCCCCTTCTCCTCGCTGAACGGTTGTCCCTCGTGCGAGCCTGCAACATAAGCCCTGTCCACTCCATGCCATTCCGCGTCCACTCCATGCCATTCCGCGTCCACTCCGTGCCAATCGCCTCCCTCTCACAAGCCGTAAGGTACACACACACATGGGAAGAGAGACACGCACACAGAAACGGTGCAACAAGAGGAGAGTTATAAGCAGGAGGAAGGGGACAAAAGGTAAAGGCAAGAAAAACAGGCGACTCTTGCCTCTGCGCGGCGACTCCCTACGACTCACTTCACTGCCCCCCGCAAGCACCCCCTGGCACGTACCATGATCCGTCCACCACTCTCCCACTCCTGTGCCCCGCCTTCACTGGAGGCGAGCCAGCAACGGAGGCGCCCTACGATACTTCAAGTCCCGTCCATTCCGCGTCCATTCCGCGTCCATTCCGCGTCCACTCCGCGCCATTCCGCGTCCACTCCGCGCCATTCCGCGTCCACTCCGCGCCATTCCGCGTCCACTCCGCGCCATTCCGCGTCCACTCCGTGCCATCCCCTCCACCTCGCAGCCCGTGAGGCACACAAAAGCATGGGGAGAGAAAGCACGCACACAAGAAACGGCGCAAAAGGAAGGGTTAGGAGCAGCACGAGAGGAGGCAAGGGGTGGAGGCAACGGCGAGAGACGTGAGACTTGCCTCTGCGCGGCGACTCACTACACTTCCCCCCTACAAGCACCCCCTGAAACGTACCATGATCCGTTCGCCGCTCTCCCGCTCCTGCGCCACGCTTTCACTTGAGGCGTGCTGCTCCTGGTTGCTCGGTTGCTGCTGTGCCACGCTTCCACTTCTCCTCGCTGGGTCGGTCGTCCTCGCGCGAGTTAAAAACGGAAGCCCGCCCATTCTCCGTCCAGCAACGGAAGCCCGCCCATTCTCCGTCCAGCAACGGAAGCCCGCCCATTCTCCGTCCAGCAACGGCAGCCCGCCCATTCTCCGTCCAGCAACGGCAACTCGCCCATTCTCCGTCCATTCGCTGCCATTCCCGTCCGTCTCGCAGGCAGTGAGGCACACACACGCATGGGGAGAAACAAGGGAGGGTTAGAAACAGCAAGGTGCGAGTGGTGGAGGCAGGGACAAGAGGCATGACTCTTGCCTCTGCGCGGCGACGCTCTAGGACTCACTACACTTCCCCCCTGCAAGCATCCCCTATCACGTACCATGTTACGTTCGCCGCCCTGCCGCTCGTGCGCCACGCGTTCACTTCAAGCGTGACGCCTGGCTGCTCGGTCGCTGCTCCCGTCGTGACCGCAACTTCGTCGTTGCTTCTGACGGTCGTTGCTCCAGCTTGCTCGGTTGATCAGTCGCTGCTGCTGCTGCTGTCGTTGCTCTCGTCTCCTCGCGATCAAAGCAACGTCGATTTGACGACGGAAACAGTAGCAACGCCGCTCTGGCGGCGGAAACGGCAGTATTGTGGCGTTTAGAGCGAAAACAGCATGGACGTCGCTTTGTTCGCGGAAATGGCATCAACGTTGGATTGACGTCGAAAAGAGCAGCGCCGTCGCTTTGACGGAAAAAAACGTCAGCTATGTTTAGAACGTCAGCTTCAAAACAACTACGCCCTAAACGTCGCTGTGGACGCCGGAAACCGTAGCTGAAGCTGTTTTGACGGCAGCAACAGCAGCGACGTCATTTTGTCGGCGGAAGCAGCACCTAAACTTCGATAGCTATAGCAGTGACGACGCCGTTTTTCTGGCCAAAATAACGGCTAAGTCGCTTGATGACGTAAACTGCAGCGAATCTGCATTGACGTCTGAACTAGCATCCGTCGCACCAGTCTTATCTCGGGATCAAATCAATCGCAACTGACGTACGGTAACATCTTAACTTGGAATCCCAGTCCGCCACGACTTGACGACGTCCTAACTAATCGGCGGCTAATGCGACCACCAGCTCACAAAGCAGGACCTGGAGATAGGAGCAAAGCCTGAGAGATCTGCTTGTGAAGCGAAGGAAGCAAAGAATGGAGGTGAGGAGATGCCTTGGGAATCCCTGGCTTCAACCGATGGCGGCAGCGGCTGAATTTTGGCCACTTTCGTTCCATGCCAATCGTTTACGAATCCACAGCGGCTTGAGTGAGCAGGAAAAAAGGAGGGGCGAAGTTCGGATCATTGGTGACTGGTGACCGAAGCAGTTGCCGGATTAGCTAGGGCAAAAGTTTCAAAATTTCGGAGGGAAATTGGAGGTTTGGTGAGGGATCAGACTAGGTTAGGACAGAAGAGAAGTTGCCTTATGACCTGATATGAGAACAAAGCTTTACCACGCGTAGTGTATTTATGACAAAGTCACTACGAGAACGAATATAGAGATTCAAAATCTACGTACATGTTGACATTTTTATGGGAACTTTCTCCCAATACAGGCAACTTACAAATCTGACTTAAAACAAGCAGGAAAACGAGTTAATAGAACTGAAATTCTTCAAGAGGCTTGCATTATGGATGCGCACTATCCAAGCTCTGCCATGGCACCATAATGAACGTTCTCAGATCAGTATCCTCTCTACCACCTCCCACCCTCTCCTCCATCCATCATAAAGATTGCTATGCTCCTACCTACAACCTAGCAATTTTAATGCTTAATGAAGTCCACTCAGCTCGAGTTGGGGACATTGAGGGAAGGTGCAGTCTGACAGGCACAGGCACGTGTCTCTCGCCATCTGCGTGTGAGAAGAACTGCAGCATGTCTCGCTCTGCAGGCAGGCAATACCCTACGACTGCCAGGTCATGTGGACGCAGGTGGAGCAGCATGGGTCATGTAGTGTGTGGCTTGCAGGGGATGCCTCATGATGATGCTGAGGGGATGACGTATGTGATGGTGGCACGCTCTGCCAGCCAGTC